AAATAAATTATTACATCATGTGAAATAGAGACAACGCCGCGGAGCAGAATTAAAAATTTCACTTCGGTTCATCTTTAATTCTTCCATCACTTTCACGCAATGCACAATGCAATGTCCAATATAAAACAATAGCTCCTGCGACCACACTAAGCACCCTGTAACTGCTTTTTAAAAATGCGAGAGACGGTTTTATAAACCGTGCTATCAAAATAACGCAAGAACAATAGATGTAGGTATCTCGCGGGGTACATGTAATGTATTGGTCAAATCGAAGCTTCAACATGCCCCCCCCGGGCATACCCCGGGCATTTGACACCTTTGCCGTCCCGGGGAGGAGGGAGTTTGATTATCAGAGTCTTCCAGGGGGTGGGGAATTTGATCCCCATGCTTTAGGGGTGGGGAAGTTGAACTGCGCCCTCGATTTCATGTAAATCTTTGGCGTGGCGAGCTATGATGGGGGACGCGGTGTTAGAGGATTTTGGTGGAAAAGATTGTACCTTTGTGGCCAATTGGTTACAAGGAAAGGGCTTAAACAAGCTTTGTGCCGTTTTTGAAGTATTTAAATTTTAAATTTTTTAATATTGGATTCAGGTTTTGAATGTATGAATGTATGTTATTGTTGTGTTTACAATGAAATACAATACCTATACCAGCGATTCAATACATCAACATAAAATCAAATCAAATAAAATAAAAAGCTCAGGTCAACTACTTTGACCTACCGCAAGTATGTTAATTTATACAGTGAGCGATGATGCATGTCTGTGAAATGGTCATGATGTAGTAATCTCAATAGGGGGGATCTTTTTTATAGAACGTTGTGTATGTTGCATGATGAAGAAAAGCTGAGCATTCAGTGACCTTGTAGCAGCGATTTCCGCCGCTTTGCACAAGTTTTTTGTTCGTAGTAAATACGCTAACAGTGTCTCTCAGTTTTTGTTATATTTATAAAGATTTTGTTCGACAACTGAAGGCGTTTCCGCCGTCCTTCTGTCATTTTTGTGCCTGTGAAATGTCCCCGGGGTGGGGGCATTTGATCACCTGAATGGACCCTAGTATGGGGCATTTGAACGACATTTTGGCCCGGGTAGGGGGGAATTTGAACAATAATTTTCAAAAAAGTCATATGCCCGGGGGGTTGCCCGGGCGGGGCATGTTGAAGCTTCGATTTGACCGATACATAACGAAGGTTAACGTTAATCAATAAATCGATCGAGCATCTCCGCCTAAACGTCAAAATTTCCCAAATTTTGACTTTTAGAAATACTTCGTTCCCCAAATCTTTTTTTATTAACACACTCTGGGATTGCTCATGAAACTAACCCGATATACTTTTATTCAGTAAACACCAAGACAGGTTATCCTCTCTTGATAAACACTTTATTGGCCACCACCCCAGCCAGTTCTAGAGGGGGAGGGTGTTTCCTTAGGAACTGATTGGCTCAAGTGACCACCAAGCTTTAATAATTATTCGATCTAAAAGAAATACATTTACAATTCGCAATCAGAACAAGCACAAATCGTCTTAATCTCGTAGCTAAAGTAAACTTACTTCTGTGGCGGGTCGTTACAACAATCGCACTTTACAGGTTAGCAAATTCTTTTAACAGATTCTTCAGGTAAGCGGATTTATAGACATACTGTAAATTATTTTCTTTCTCACTTCGATTCTACTGAAAAACTGGTTCGAAACACGATAAGTTAATACAATTCTTGTCATCAAATAAATCTATCCAATAACAGGCAACGCTTGTTTGATAAGCGAAACAGAGGAGAGACCTCGCGTACCTTGCATTTCCATTTCCACCGTTTTATTCCTTGGCTTCATACCCTTAGCCGTCTTTTGACAAATAATTTTTACTATTTTTCTGTAATTTTCCTTCTTCGCCCACCTCTTACCCCTTAATAATTCCCTCCTATCGTCCTCTTATTTCCCGCCTTCTGTACCCCTCTAACCCCTTAATCCTTCGAGGTACCCCATCCCTGTCGTCGTTTTCTAGGTCGTCGTTCTCTAGACACCCGTCTGTTACCTTAAGCCACCAGCTTTATAATAATGCCTACACTGAAAATTCCTTGAACAGCGATGCAATATTTTTCGTCTAGTACTTCACAGTTGGCGATTGAGGTTTCTTTCGCAGTGAGCCTCCGCTTGCGTACCCTGTTCCGAGAAGTCATTCGCGGCTAAACCTTCAAATTAAATCAGTTTTAAGATGGACAGTATTTTGATTTGCACTCGTTTGTTGGTAAATAAAAAGGCACCTTGTTAACGGTCAACAACTTGCATAGGGATTCAACTCCGCGATACACTCACTTTCCGTAAATAAAGCAAATACTGAGAAGATATGAACAACCATATGAATTTTCTGAATTTCCATGGCACGTATTAAGGCATATTTTCCTACCATAAGACCATAAAACAATAAAAAAGACAGCAAAATCGATCCTTCTCTCCGCCGACGACGGATCATTCACGAAAACAACCACGCCAGGAATAAGCGCTTTCAACTTCCGGCGTTTCTGACAGCCAATCAGATCTTGTGGCATTGTTCCAACAGCCAATCAGCGTTACGGCCAAAATCTGGCCGTAACGAGCACAAGCGTGAATGAGTTTGGATCAGGCCCAATTTTAGCGGTAGCCGTTAGAGAGAATGTATGAGAACCGCTAAAATTGGACCTGATCTCAGGTTACCCTGATCTTTGATGTAGTAAGTATATTTTTCTTCCGCAGTTCAAACTTATGATGTTTCAGTCATTTATACTACTACATGAAAAATTTCTACGATTTGATTGGCTTAGAGCAGTGGTATTTCAGCTTAATTTGAAATTCCTACATGTGAAAATTACAAACCTTTTGCGGGTAGTAGTATAAACAAATAATAGCATGATTTGTACGTGATATTTGCAGGGTTGTCAATAAGGGCCGGTAGCCGCCCAAAATCGCCGGCTGGTTAGCCATCCTTGGCCAGCTACTTTCATCTCCTTATATACCATAACTGCTAACAAAAAATAAGCATCATCAAATAAAAATAATTGTAAAGCATCCGTTTCCCAGTTTTGAATGACATTGAACGCATATTCTAGCAGGTTTAGATCTGTAACACGTTCGAACTGTGCAATGTCTTGGAACGCCTGGGACATTTCAATGGCATTGTTCCCAGTCTAGCGTGTATTCTGACGAAACAACATGGCGTCTACGGTGGAAAATACCTCTTGAAAACCTCTGGGAACGCCATTTCCGAGACTACAATTTTCGAAATGTCCCTAGATGCCTCGGCCCTCAAGAACTTGTGCCTTTGGTGCGAGTTCCAAAGCCGTCTACTATTCATTTTGAGCCTGCTACTTAAAAACTTTTTGACAGCCCTTGATATTTGACATAAATACCACTCGTGATATTTCAAGATTGTCCCAAATTTCACTCGCCTAACGGCTCGTGAAATTACGTATAACAATTTCGAAATATCACTCGTGGCATTTATGCCAAATATCACTACAAATCATGCTATTACCTATACATATTCACTTGCTCGGAACTCACTGTTAAGCAGTAATGGGGAAACTGATGCACTAAACCAGTTTTGCAGAAAATTTTGCTGCGTTTGCAGAAATACAAGATTCCGTTTTCCTATTGGTAATTAAAACCATTTTGCATTTATAAGCCTCGCAATAAAAGAATGTTGCTTCATCCGGTAGATCTACACTAGGTATTGGGGGTTAATTTAATTGCGTGACGAAATACTGTTATTTGTTTCTTATTTTCAAATGGTTTTTCAAATGCCCTTTGTAACTAACGAAGATGTGAGTGAAGTGAAAACATCATGATCTTTTTACAAATCGGGTTTCTTGTTTTCGTTCGTCACTCTATATTATAACTTACATCTCATCTAATGCCTGTCTTCAAATTATTTCTTGAGACTATTACCTGAAAATTATTTCTTGATTGTCATACATTTGGCTTCACGATCGTTTCCATTTACCATAGGTGAGACATCCTCCTTTTCAGCAACAAATACTAGATGTTACACAGATTACCCCCCCCCAATCCACTGTGTATAACGCAGTAGTCACTGCTGTCCAACTACGAGGTAGAGAAGAAATAATGATGTTGTGTTGACGTCGAAGCTTTCGTTTACTTGTGTTAACCAAATGGATCAAATGTGGTCAACACAAATGCTGGCCATAGACTCAGAGGCAAGTCTTCCCGACTAGGAAAAAGAACGTTGCAAGTGTGATTCACATAGCAATGCTGTAGAATACAGCAATAAATCCAACTCTTACACACCAGAGACATAAGGTGGCTGGTAACAGTTTCAACACTTTCCAGCATTATACTTTGATGGATCAAAACTTTCACTCTTTATCAAGTGATGCTACAATATAGGTATCACAAAGTCGCCCAACCACCTGTAAACAAGTTGTGGTCATCTTCATAGCATAATAGGCTACAATAGCAACAATACAACTTGTTAAAAACACCCTTAACGTTAGCTTTAAGATAGAACTTTTAGCAATTCAAAAAAAATTAGGTAGGATTCAGAGCCATTTTCAAATTTCAAATATTTGGGTATGCTTCAGCAATTTATGTAAAACTCGAACCTCGATTGCTCTTCCGAAGGTTTTGGCAACCTTCGAGTAAATGTTCGAACTCCTTTGGGTATGCTTCGACAATCTGTGTAACACTCGACCTCGATTAATCTTCAGAAGGTTTCGGAAATCTTCGGAAACCTTTGGGTGGCTTTTATTTGTCTTTGGAAGACCTTGATTATATTAGGGCGTTTTGGAAAGGCTCCGAATGATCTTCGGTGATCCAGACAGGAAAGTTATACGGTATTACTGGCAACCCATAGCTTGGCCTTCTTCTCAGCGACCGCTAGGTGTAGGACTAACACGTGCGCAGGTCAATTTTATACGAAAGCAAACCGCAAACGGCTTGCCAAGTTCCTGGCAGAATAAATAAAAATAGTTCCTTGATTTTCATTCTCATTAAACAGGAACGTCTTACCATGGAGAAAGTGGAAAAAATACTTGAGGCCTTAAAACTCTCCAAGGAAGCCGGAAACAAAGAAGCGGAAGGGAATTCTTATATCGACCTCGGGAGCGCCTACCACGATCTCGGTCAACATGAAAAATCCATCGAGTATTTTGAAAAATCTCTTTCGATTTGTAGCGAAACCGGAAACAAAGCTGGAGAATTGAGTACATGCCGCAAGCTTGGAAGTGCCTATGGTTGTCTTCACAAGCATAAGAAATCCGTCGAGTATTTCGAGAAAGCGCTATCGTTAAGCAAGGAAGTTGGAGACAGGGGAGAAGAAGGGAAAGCGCACAGAAGTCTTGGTGCCGCATTCTATAGTCTTGGTCTGCCCGATAAGTCGATTGAGCATATTGAAAATGCACTTATAATCAGTGTAGAAATTGGCAACAAAAGGAAGGAAGGAAATTCATACAACGCATTTGGTCACGTGTATTACTCTACTGGTCACTATGACAAGGCGATATTTAACTTCGAGAAAGAGCTGAAAGTAAGACAAATACTAGGAGACAAACGCGGCCAGGGGCGATCTTACAATCATCTTGGCAATGTTTATCATGCTCTCAGTCAGTATGAGAAATCCATCGATTGCCAAAAGAAAGCTCTTCAGATAAGCGAAGAAACCGGAGACAAGAAAGGGGAAGGAGATGCCTACAACAGCCTCGGCGACGTGTACCGTGCTCTTGGCGAATATGATATATCGATCAGGTACTTGGAGAAAGGTCTTGAAATAAGCAAGGAGTCCCGCAATAAGCCAGGAGAAGGAATGGCCTACAACAGTCTTGCCACATTGTTTCTTGCCCTTAGTGAATATGAGAAAGCGATCGATAACTCGACGAAGGGTCTTGAAATTTGTACAGAGGTAGGAAACACACGCGCGAAAAGCAAATGTTACAGCAACATTGCTACAGCATATCATGCTCTTGGCCAATCCGAAAGGTGTCTGGAGTATTATGAAAAAAGTCTCGACATCGCCCAATCGCTTGGAGACAGACAGGGAGAAGGAACAATGTACAATAATCTCGGTACATTGTTTTATGATTTTAGCCAATACGAGAAATCGTTACACTATTACCAGAACGCGATTGAGGTCCACAAAGAAATAGGAGACAGACAAGGACAAGGAACAGCTTACCTAAACCTCGGTGACGTACATAATGCTCTTGCTAATCATCAAGAGTCACTCGACTTTTTACAGAAATCTCTTGAAATCAGTCAAGAAATCGGGGATAAACGGGCTGAAGGGGCGTCGTACAGCAGCATCGGAAGTGTGTATAATTCCCTTGGCCAGTTTGAGAAGTCCATTGAATATCAGACGAAAGCCCTTAAAATCTATGAAACGACTGGGGAAAAGCGAGGGCTGGGAGACTCGTACAACAAACTAGGTAGCGTGTACAGTGATCTCCAACAGTACCAAGAGGCATTGGCTTGCTACGAGAAAGGACTTGAGATAAGAAAAGCGATCGGTAACAAACAGGGAGAAGCAGCATCCTACAACAACTTTGGCAGCGTCTACTGCGAGCTTGGCCACTACGAGAAATCAATCGAGAATCACGAGAGAGCGCTGGTTATCAACAAAGAAACTGGCGACAAACGAGGGGAAGGGACATCTTACAACAACCTCGGTAGTGTATACAGCAAGTTACAGCAGTATGACAAAGCAATTGATTATTTCAAGAAAAGTCTCGAAATCAGTGCAAAAATTGGCAATAAGCTGGGAGAGATGGCATCCTATAGTCACCTGTGTTTTGTATGGTACGCTCGTGGGCAATATGGAAAGGCGATTGAGTGTGAAGAAAAAGCACTTGCATTAAAAGAAGCCATTGACGACATACGTGGAGTAGTTATCTCGTGCGTCAGTCTTGCAAGTATTTACCATGCACTTGGCCAATATGAAAAATGTATCGGGAATTTAAGAAAGCTATTCAAGTCAGCGAATCCACGGGTGACAAGCAACAACAAATACAATTGTACAGCAATCTCGGTGATGTGTATAATGCTTTGGGACACAAAGAGCAGTCACTAGAATTTCACGATAAAGCCATCGAAATCTGCAGAGAAGTTGGAGACAGAAAAGCAGAGAGTACCTCCTATCACACATTGGGAAGTATTTGCCACGCCCTACACCAGTTTGACAAATCTATCAGCTATTATAAATCCAGCCTTGAAATTCTGAAGACCCTTGATGACAAACATGGCGAGCATAAAACACGCAGTGCCCTCGCTAATGTGTATGAGGCTCTAGGCCAGCATAAAGAAGCGATTGAGTGCCACAAGGAAGCCCTCAACATCGGCGAAACACTGTGTGACAAGGAGAAAGAAGAAGCATCATGTGGCAAGCTCAGTATTCTGTATAAGGCTCTTGGCCAGTACGATAAATCTATCAAATACAGAGAGAATGCTCTGGAAATCTGTAAAGCTCTGGGATATAAACCATTAGAAGGAAGATCGTACGAGCTTCTTGGTATCTTGTATCATGATGTCGGTCAGTTTGAGAAGTCGATTGAGTGCGCAGCGAAGGCAATTGAAATCTTTAGAACCACTGGTCGCAGAGGGGCTGAGGGAAGATCATACAGCCAGCTTGGAAATCTCTATTTTGATACTGGCCAGTATGAGAAGGCTGTTGAAAATCATAAGAAGAGTCTTGAAATCCGGGAAGCCATTGGTGACAAGAAAGGAGAGGGAACCTCCCACAACAATTTAGGCTCCGCATATTGTGCACTCAATCAGATCAAGAAGTCTATTGAATCCTGTCATAGAAGTGTTGAAATCAGGAAAGAAATTGGCTACAAAGAAGGGGAAATAACGTCCTACAATAACCTTGGTATGGTTTATCTACAACTTGGCCATCATGAAAAGTCAATTGAGTGTCAAGAGAAAGCGCTTGAAATCAGCAGGGAAATTAAAGACAAACAAGGAGAAGGAACGTCATACAGCAACCTTGGCACTGTGTATAATGCTAAAGGGGAATATGAGAAGTCGCTTGGGTACGAAAAGAAAGCACTCGCGATCTATAAAGATGTTGGCGATAAAGTGCGAGAAGGAACTTCTTATAACAACCTTGGCATATTATATTACATTTTTGGTCAACATCAGAACTCCGTTGACTGCTTCGAAAGGGCTCTCAAAATCAAGAAAGAATTCGGAGACAAAGCAGGGCAGGAATCTTGTCACAGCAGCCTGAGCCTTTTGTATAGTACTGCCGGCGAGTATGAGAAGGCTATTGAGAATCAAGAAGAAGCCCTTCAAATTTGCTCAGCAGTCGGCAACAGAGAAGGGGAGTTACGATCTCACGATGCTCTTGGTACAGCAAATTATTTTTTTCGCCATTTAGAAAAATCAATCCAACACCAAGAGAAAGTGCTTGAATTCAGTAAGGAAGTTGGAGATAGGAAAAGAGAAGGAACATCGTACAGCAATTTAGGCACAATCTATCATGCTCAGCAACAATTTGTGAAATCGGTTGAGTATCAAGAAAAAGCCCTCAACATCTTTAAGGCGATTGGAGACAAACATGGGGAAGCAGCATCTTGCAGCAACCTTGGCATTACTTGTTGCGCCCTTGGTCAGTATGAGAAGTCCCTATCGTATCATGAAAAAGCGTTGGGGGTCTGTAAAGAGATTTGTGACACAGGAGGAGAGTTGAGATCTTACAAAGGTCTTGGCAGTGCTTATCATCTTCAGGGCCAACTGGAGAAGTCTATCTTTTGTTACACAAAAATTCTGGAGGTCAGCAAAGAAATTGGAGACAAGCAAGAAAAAGTAGCATCCTACCAGACTCTATACACCTTGTGCAATGCACTTGGCAAAGGAGAGGAAGCTGCCATTTACCTGGAGAAAGCGCAGGAGATCAAGAACGACTCTGGAGAGAGACAACAGGAAGATCAATATGACGAACGACCTGCTCAATGTGTGTACTACGTTTGCGATCTTTACAAAAAATCTGTTGAGCCTGGAAAATGTTTTAGTGGAATCATCGATGAAGTCAGAGGAAGAGATCCTATTCCGAGGGAATCTGGCGTGCAAATTGAGAAGTCGATCAAATATCACGAGAGAGAAATGGAAATCAGTAGAGTAACGGGTGACAAATGGGGAGAGGGAAGATCCTACCGCGCTCTTGGATACGATTACATCACTCTTGGCCACTATAAGACATCTATTGAATATTTCGAGAAAGCACTTGACATAGGCGACGTAATTGGCAGCAAGAAAGCTAAGGCACACTCCTACAGTGGCCTTGGTAATGTGTATCTTGCTCTTGGCCAGTACGATAAAGCTCTAAAGTACCAGGAGGAATCATTCAAAATTGATGAGGAGATCGAAGACGAGAAGGGAGAAGGAGCATCCTTCACGAACCTGGCAAGCATATACCGTGCCTCCGGCCAATATGAAAAAGCAATTGAATATCAAAACAAGGCACTCGAAATCTGCATTGAAATACAAGACAGGAAAGGGGAGGCTACATCATACAACAACCTCGGTAGCATATACAATGCTCTTGGCCAATATAATGACTCAATACATTTTCAGGAGAAAGCTCTTAAAATCAGAAAAGAAGTAGGCGACAGAGAAGGAGAAGGAATTTCTTATGTCAACCTTGGCAATGTTCAATATGCTCTTGGCCAGCATGAGAAGGCTATCAACTACCTGGAAAGAGGACTTGAAATCTTCAAGGAAACTGGATTCAAGGGAAAAGAACACCTTGTTTTATACGGCTTAGCCATGAGCCATTTTCACGAGAAACGTTTCTCAAAAGCTTCCGACTATTTCTTTGGGAGCATTAAAGGTCACGAAAATGTAAGAAAGTCTCTTAAAGATGAAGACAAGCTCTCATTAGATGATCAAAGCATTTCATTTTACAAGGGACTTACCTTGATGTTGATTTCTCTTGGAAAGGTAGATGATGCCCTTTGTACAGCCGAACGAGGACGAGCTCGTGCACTTGTAGACCTGATATTCTCTAATTTCGGAATCCAGGAGATCAACAAAACAAATGAATTTACTTTGAGTTCGTTAGCAAGCCTCTTAGAAAAACAGCGAAGTGATTTTCTTTTCATGGGCATCATAACGAAGCAAATCTATCTCTGGTTCATGGAAAAAAGTGGGAAAATAAACTTCAAGATTGGAAAAGAGCTGTCAGCAACTGAGAAAGAAGGAACGTCTTTGCAAGATTTGGTAACGACCACTTTGAAATCCTTGCCAAAAGACGACGGAGAAGAATACGAAGACAGATCACTGTCAGAAATCTATGAAGACGAATCATCAACAGCAGAGGGGCAAAGTGAAGAAACCAGTCAGCACCATTTCCGGGGTAACGAAGAAGAAGAAAGAGAGGCCAATCTAAAGAAATTATACCAAATCATAATTGCGCCTTTTACTGGTCTCATTCAAGGTCCAGAGATTGTCATAATCCCAGAAGGAGGATTGTTCTTGGTCCCATTTGCAGCCTTGCAAGATTCTAGTGGAAAGCACTTGTCCCAAACTTATCGAATTCGCCTAATTCCCTCTCTGACATCGCTTCAGGTCATTCAAAGTTTCCCAGAAAATTACCATTCTCAAACTGGGGCACTGATTGTGGGAGACCCAACGGTTGGCCGTGTAGAGTTTGATGGAAAAGTCTGTGTTTTGAAACCTCTTCCAAATGCCAGAAGTGAAGCAGATATGGTATGCCGGCATGTTAGACCACCATACTTTAAGCTTATTGGAGAGCAAGCCACTAAGGGTGAGGTGTTGAAAAGAATCCAGGGTGTGGGGTTGGTGCATATTGCAGCCCACGGTGATGCAGAGAGAGGAGAAATTGCCCTTGCACCAAACGTAGGTGCCACGGAAATTGTAAAAAAGGAAGATTTTATGCTGACAATGGAGGACATAGCAAACGTCGGCATAAGGGCCAAGCTGGTAGTACTCAGCTGCTGCAATAGTGGTCATGGTAAAATCATGACAGCCGAGGGAGTTGTCGGAATAGCTCGGGCGTTTCTTGGATCTGGTGCTCGCTCCGTTCTTATGTCATTATGGCCTGTTAACGATGCAGCTACCAAAGCCTTCATGAACGTGTTCTACAGGAGTTTAATGCGCGAACAAAAGAGTGCAAGTGAGGCTCTTTACCTGTCTGTCAAGAAGTTAAGAGAGTCAGCAATTTACAACCATTTCAGGCACTGGGCTGCTTTTGAACTTCTTGGAGATGATGTCACATTTGATTGACCTCTGTGCTTGGGGTGAGTATCTCTAGCATTAGAAGTAATTTTTACCTCGTAGTCGGCTTCGAAATTTAATCTTATGGCTGCGATTGTCACCAATATTGACACCTACGAACCAGACCTTAGAAGTGTCTAATTTCACCTTTTCTTGGGTTTTCTTATAGATGAAAGCACCACTAAAGGTTTCTTTAATTTCGGCATACAACGATGAAGTTGTTCAGCACGGCCATTGATGGTGATCCACAGTCGTCTACTTCTCTGCCATCCTCTGCCGAACTGACTGTAAATAGATGCTACTTTAAAAACCCTTCGACTAACCGCATGGATGCTTCTGGGAGGGGAGCTTCAGGAACTGAACACAGCATCTCATTTCACTGGAGCAGATAGTGGAGGAAAGTTGCTCAAATCTTGTGGAGTACAAAAAGAACGTAAACTCATCCCTTTTTAGAAACCTTGTTCACTGTACTTTATCTTTGTGTATAATAGCCACGCTAACAATGTAGCTTTCATTTCAATGTACCACTGAGTACACTACATGTAGGACAGGACCACATCAGCCCTTTGGCTCAATTATCAAATGAAATATAATGATGATGATGAAGAAGACGATGACAATGACGACTGATGATGACGATGATGCCCTCAATTTTGGGACGTTCCATTTGTTATCAGTACCACCTCTAAGGATGACGGGGTTTTGAATAGGGGGGCTCAGATTATTTCTTCAAACAAGCCGACAAAATTTGGACCCTTCGGACAGGTTTGTCAAAGGTGCCGAGAAAAAAAGGTACACTTCGGATTTTATTTTTTAAAGGGCGCCGCCAAAAATTTGAGGGTTCGGATTCCAGTCATCCTTAGGAGGGACCGTGCGAATAAAAAAAAATGGAATGTCCTTTTCCCCCATAACCATGCACATCCATTTATCATAGGGTCATGTATTTTCCACTCACTCTGTTCACTTTTCATTTTATATGACATTGTTATAAAACGTAGTACACCCATTTTGTGTCCGAATGAACTTTAAAGTTTTGAAAGACGAACACTTAAACTTACAGGTTCCAGATCCAGGAATCATTCTAATAGATCTTCTTTTAGCTGCATCATGGAGAGAACATGGTTCTTAGAAGCTCTTATCTCATGACAATTTAGCCGGAAAAAAGTCCACAACTTACCTAGTGTATGGGAAAGGAATGCTTCACGCCATATTTGCTGAAAGATACACGATTTAAACCATGGTGGGCTCACTCGATTTGCTAACCAATAATTCCATACAGTCGCTATCTTGAAAGTTAAAAGCATATATCGTGTAGGCATACATGAATAGTACCTTACTCACGAACACCAAAGAACTGGAGCCTAGGAACCTGATCGAGTAGTGGTGGGGGCGTGGGTGAGGGCTAAGAAGCGGTGCCAAGGGAAACATCTTGGATTGTTGCAGATAGTTTGAATTGTGGTATAAGCTTGATTTCACTGAATTATTTAGTGCGTTGACTCCAAGATAGTGTTGTGCAGTCCCGCTTGGTTTGTTTTATTTTCGCGATGACACAAATATGAGGGCCTGTCACAGGCAAAGGGAAGCTTTTCAAGTTCAGGTGCAGAGGCTTATAGGTAGTGGTGTAACGATTAATCGAATTCTCGATTAATCGCGATTATGATCGTTCGGTTCGATTCGCGATTCTTTGCTTCCACTTTTCGATTTTGATTCGATTTTTGCATACCTTTTCCAGGGTGCCCTCAGTAAGTTATTATATTGTAAAATGAGAAACCAGAACTCTTTGAAATGTACGTTTTTGATTGACGAGCAAAGACGATTGCAGTTCGTGCCCCATTTTGTGTTACCTGGAAAAATGCTATCCTTTGACCACCCCTTGAGAATTTCCAAATAAGGCAAACCATGTGCGAAACGCTCTTTGTCAGGTTCTCAAACATGGCGACGAAGGACAAAGCGGCTGTGAATCCTCTTGTCCCTATTACTATTCTCAAATTGAGGGTTTAGGGTTGAATGTTGTTAACATTACGCATTATGTTATAAGAATTACGAAACATTTACATAATCAAATCGAAATAATCGAAATCGAATCGAATCGCAAGGAATATTTAAAATCCAACCAGTGGTGTATTATCAATGCTGCATTCTGATTGGTTGGGCTACTACTAGGCTATATGTTATAGCCCACTAGTAGCGAAAAGCGCTGGCTTTTTGGCAGCAAAAAAGGATTAAAGTCTAGCTTTAACTAGCTAAAGTTGTTTTGTCTCGATATTTTTGACCAACTAGTTGGATTTTACTAAAACAATTATTCCTCTCGCCCTCATGGCCTCTGAGTCAATAGCCCATTCGGCCTTCGGTCTCAAGGGCTATTGACTCAGAGCCCATTCGGGCTCGAGGAAATCGTTACACCCCTACTTATGAGTCAACTCCCACGTAAGCGACCACCCTTGGTGCAGGACAAAGTGGTTGGCTTACAGCACACTTAAAATTAAAGTGTAATGTTACAAGGAAAATTTGTAATATTACACTTTTTAACGAGTAAAGCGTTACACAGAATTTTCAGTGTTGTGTTACGCTTTATGTCGGGTAATTTTACGCAAACTTTAGTGTAAAAGAGGTGGTACAGTCTTAACATGATAATATTACACAGTTAAAGGTATACTTTTACAATTTTTTCTATTGTAACATTACACGCAGGGTACGGTGTACATTTTACCCGTTTTTACAGCGTAAATGTATACCATAGTAAAGGTAATTTTACACTAATAAACTTATAGAATTAAACACACCTATTGGTGTTAGAGTATACTAATAACACAGAGTAATATTACACTATTTGTAGTGTTGTGTTACTCGTTTTTTCGGGTACTTTAACACCAACTAAAAGTGTTAAAATTGAAGTGTATTGTTACAAAAGAAAAATTATAAAGTTACACTTTTTATGGTGTAAAACACTACACAGAAATTATGGCGTGGTGATACTCGTTATTTTGAGTATTTTTACACCACGTTTAGGCTGAAACAAAAGGTATTTTTAACATTTACTTATAGGGTAAATGTATACCACAGCGGGGGTAATTATGCACTCACATGTGTACTTATACGTTTATAGAATAAAACACCCACTCTCTTTTTTTAAAAAAAAGATATCGAAACAAGAAAATCTTCATCGCGTGAATAAGTTATCTGAGCCGCTAGTTGTACATGTAACAGGAATATACTTCAGCTGCAGTCTAAGGTCTCATTTCAGATATATCGTACGAAATTCACGCAACTGCATTTGTATACATGTGTAAATTGCAAGGTGTATAAGCTAAATTAATGAAATGACCTAAACCGCTAACGATGCATCACTCCATTGACAGGACTGTCATTTGTGCGGGTTTCTAGCTTTCTGAGAAATGTAACACTATGTTTCTTTCTTCTTCTTCTTCTTTTTTTTTTTTCTTCATTGTCCATTGTCTTCGTACTTAGATCGATTCAATTCAGACCATGTTCCTTTTCCGCGTGTTCTCGAAGAGGAAATTTACAGCAACATAAATTACGTGACTGAGTCAAAAGCCGCAGCAGATCCAAAGATCACGTATCATTAGTCAGTCACCAGGAGCTTAAGTGACAGGGCGCGAATTTTCGTGCAATCAGGATCGATGATGTTGCCGATAAAGACACTTGAATACCGTTTGTATTCATCTTTTGTTCCAACCGTACTCCACGAAGGTTGTACTAACATTAAGCGCCGTAAATTTGAAGATTTTGACTCAAAGTCTTCATTGATTTCAAGTTAACAAGGATGTAGGGCCGATTGTTAGAGCAAAGGATGATGGAGGCTCCAAATGACTGCTAAGAAGAGAGCAAAAACCATGCATTCAAACATGTTCAAAGATTACGACGGCGCATTTCGCATTTCGAGGTGAGTATACTTTCCGTAATTTCTGAGTTTTATGTTAAAACTATAGTCTGGCCCTAGATTTCTTGAGGCTTTTGAAGTATTGTTTTACCGTACTGCAACACCTTGAGCGGTTTTCCTACTGTGGGAGAGCGCGATGCGATATGAAAAGCGCATATGTTTGGTGTTTAGCTTTGAAATCTCGAAATTAAGATAACCTCGCTATTTCGCCTCAAATTTTTGTTTAGGCTTGTTAGGAGAATAGCCTGAGAGGAGACAGATATATACGACTAACATTAGAAATATAAATACTGGATATAAGCTGACTGAAATGTTTTGTGAATATTGCCGTTGGTTGTTCGTTTGCTTTTAACCGCCAAAAGGTCGCGTGACATGACGTCAACAGCGAAGACTGCATTGTATCACCTTGTTGTTTTTGCAGACACAAATTGAAGCTTAAATATTTATAGCGAATATAATTACTTTTAATTCGAGTGGTTTTGCTCTTTGCAAACAAAAGACGTGTATTACAAGCGTACCACCTGAACTCGGGGGACCGTGATGTCACGCGCAACATTTGATTCCATACATTTACTATTAAAATGATCAGTACAAATGCTTCATAAAACACAGAATTTTGCACCTTTTGATCCCAAATGTTGATATAATGTAAGTTATCTTTATTTATTTTTCTTACATTATACCTAGTGGCTATTCGTACCGGACCCGTACATCGACTTGTATTTGCTATTCATACGGGATTCTGAGTAAATTGATGAGGGTTAAGCACTAACAAGGGTTAAGCAATGAAAATAGTGATTAGGGCTAAGCACTGACCATGCTGATTAGGGTTAAGCACTGACTCGAAACGGTTAGCTTCTATTTAGGGTTACGGTTGTTGCTATATGAATGAAAATGAAACTCCATCTAGCAGAGAGTATCCCGTGGTAGAGTGGTTAGGCCACATACTAAATTCTACGTCCTGGGATCGGTTCTCAATCCATATCGTACCCCATCGAATTTGTTTTTCCTTTTAGAATTTGCCACTGAATTTTTTTTCCTTAAAAATTGAACGTTTGTTGAAAAGACTTACACTTTCATGGAAATTTAATGACCAGAAATTTCAAGA